GTCGGGTATTAAATAGACAGGCGTCATTTAAACTGAACATTTTGTTTACCTTTTTGAGGACTGGAAAAATAATGTTGCATTTGTTTTATCATTGTATTTACTCAAGATTATTTTAGAAGGATTTAGAAACTTTTATTAACAGGAAATGGGTGTATAATAGAAATGTTGTATAATGTATAATGATTGCTTTTTTATTTGTATAAAGTAAAGAACAGTACATCATACAATTTATTATATTAGGAAATAATACAATATAAATAAAAAGGGGCATTTTTGCAAATCAATTTTTTAAAAGCACTAAAAGTAATGTAACTTTTTTTCTGGTAGCTAAAGTTGCTAATGACGTTACTATGTAATACCTCTTCTCTTGCCAATGAATAAAATATGAATTCAACAAACTGACGTTCTCGCGCACTTCCGCTGAAGATCTCGCGAGATCAAGTTTCCTTGGCAACAGTACACCGTGTTTTCATGGAGAGGTCAGAGCGACAAAAGGTTTGTTATTATTATCGCGCAAATGTCAATAATTTAATCTTGCGTACCATGTTAATTACGTAAACATTTATATGAGACACTAACGTGGTGTATTTTATGCCTCGCTATTCAATGTAACGAGCGCATCAAACACTAAGCTACAGTAAAACATTGTTATTCCTTAATGCTTATGTGTCACATTGGGTCTAAAAAACCTTTAGGTGCCTCCTAAAACGGATTGTGGTAGGTTATAAAAGTCCCGTAAAGCAAAACTAAACCAGCTGGAAAAGACTTACTTCATGGGCTGTGTCTCTAAACCAAGTATGCTGCCTACCTAGACAGCATTTTAGGGCATCATAGACATGTTCTGAGTCAGCAGCATTTTGGTATCACTATGACTCCTAAAAATACAATCTAGGCAGGCATCTCCCTAGGTTTTGAAACCCAGTTTTAGTAAAAACTAAAAAGTGCAAATAATATCTGCAAACAGATTCAACTCGCAACCAACCAGCCATACGACGAGAGTTTTGAGGTGAATGCAGAGGAGGCAGCCAGTGTGCACACACCATCCCCAAGACAGATAGGTCAGACTGTTTACCACTTCTTTACATTTTACCTAGCATCCATCAACTGTTTTTCATGCCATTGTGTTTTTATTTCAGTTTCTAGGAGGACAGGCAGGCAGAAGCAGAGTGCCATGGCCACTTATGCTGGCGACCCAACAGTGCTTTCCCTGTGGCTGTCAGAGAACAGCAAACAACACAATGTTGCTGTGAGTTCACACACTACAAGACTTAAGGTGCTTTGATGATTTTAGCCTGGTAAGTGAAATGAGAAAGTGATGCACATCTCTTTCACAGGAAGTAAAAGTAAAGAGCATCGAAAACCCAGAGAAGAACCCCAAAGCCATAGACAACTGGATCGAGAGCATTAGTGAGCTGCATCGGTCCAAGCCTCCAGCTACTGTACACTACACAAGGCAAGCACTGACATGAACCAACCACAAACATCCAGAGAACAGAACACAACATCTGTGTCATTTTTTTAACAAGAGTCATGCATTTTTCTTCAGACCCATGCCAGATATTGACAGCCTGATGCAAGAGTGGCCACCTGAGTTTGAGGAGCTTTTGGGGAAGGTTAGATCTTGACTGAAAGGTCATGAATTAAATCTGCAAATTCAGTCATGTTCACCTTCACTTCCCCATCTGTTCACCAGGTCAATCTCCCCACCGCAGATATTGATTGTGATTTGGCAGAGTATGTCGACATTATGTGCGGTAAGTTGCATGTTTCTTACATTTACATCTTTGATGCTTTTCTTGGTTTTATTGTAATGACTGTTAATGTAACCTGTCAGGAATCCTGGACATCCCCGTGTACAAGAACCGGATTTACTCACTTCACGTCCTGTTCACACTCTACTCTGAATTCAAAAACTCACAGGTTAGTTTCAGACATTATATAATATTACATTAAATAATATAAAATGCTTTTCACAATCTGCAAATATTGATTACTTGTTTCACATTATTTGTATTATGTGACATGTATTCACTTTTTTTGTAAAGCACAGGATTTTAGATGTTGAAGTTCTGGGTTGTATTATTGAAGAGCTGATTTTGTTTCTCCTGTGATCAGCACTTTAAATCTGTAGCGGAGGGCCAGAAATCCGACACACCGCCTGCTTCACGTACAGCCACTGCTGAATTAGAAAGACTCACTTTGGACTGAAGTCTCCTTCATGGCCTATTTTCATACATCCTGTTCTGCATATTAGATTGTGTGAATTCTTCATATGTTTATGTTTAGCAGGCTTGTTTTAATTAAAAAATATATATATTTCCTCAAACTGTAGACTGGAAATGTCTTCAAAACTCATCACAGCTACTCCATCAGTCCACTGCCTAATTATTTTACAGTTTGCAATGAGCTGGTCTTTTCTTACTGAAGGGTAATACCAGAGGATGATAGGTTTCCTTGTTTAACCACTTGTTACATTAATAGATGTTTTATGTAACTTTATATTTAGTATCACAAAATCAAGACTCTTCACAGATTTTTTTAGGAGATACCGTTAAATAACAGTATGTACTGTATAAATATCCCAGAAAAATAATACTAAATTAAACTGAATCAACACTGAAAGGCTTCTGAAAAACCAAAAGGCATTTAGCAAAGCAAGATGACATTATAGCCATAATCAGATTTAAATGATACACTGAACCAGAGTAAGCTGTCCTTTATGATTTAGTTAAAAGTCTAATATACTCTGCAAAACAATGTACGAGAGTTGTTGTCTATTAGATCAGTTGAATAAAAGCAGCCCTGCCTTCTTCCTTGTTCTAACCGCTTTTTATTTTTCCTGTCGTGGTTTTTAGTGGCTATTTTTTACTCTGAGGTGACAGTTTCAACTCTGAGTGCATTAAAGTGTGTCATAGAAACAAGATCTGCAAATTTGAACGGTTTGATTAATGGTTGCCAATGTTAATAAAATGCTAATTTAGCTCTTAAAACACTAAGTCTAACTCCTGACTAACGATGCCTGGATGTTTCATTCATATTTGGCTGTTTCTCTTTGCTGTATTTAGTAAGTATGGCTAATAAATTCTATAGCTAATAATTATTGCAGTGCTTCTGTTTTCATTTGGCTATTAATGCATATGTGGATTGTAATATATAAATTAAATACACTTTAAAAAGCTATATATTATGTTTACTTAAAGAGAATAATTTCATTTCTCTAGGCCAATTATTTACATGTATAGTCATTTATACATAGATATAGTTGAACTTTTTTTTTTGTTTATTACATATTGTATTACATATTATATACATATTGATTTGACAGCGAGAGAAATTGAAGTCAAAGAAGTGCAGACGGGCTTATACAGTCGTGTTGAGCTGACTGGAGGGGAACTTGATCAACATACTGCTGATTCTCTGCACTCAGTGGAATGGACCAAACAAAATGGATCAATAACATGTCTATGCTTTAAAAAAAACACCACATTCAGTGCTGCATACAGTCAATGCTGTGGCACAGCTCATTTCTATTTAAACAATAACAGCCTCATTCTGGAGAACGTGACAGCAAAGGATGAAGGATTCTTCACTGAAACAATAGTTAGAGGAAACGGCACTACAAATATGCTAAGCTTTACATTAATTATTCAGTGTAAGTCAGACCTATCACAGTCATGCTTATTTCATGTAGAATTCGTCTAATTTTGCTGTACTTTTGCTCATTAGTATGTTTTACTTTAAGACCCTCTAAGTGTGACAGAAATTGTGGTCTCCTGGACCTCCAGCACATCTGTGACTCTCAAATGTGAAGTGAGCGGCTTATTTCTGTATCTGATGTGGAAGAGAGAAGGATTCTCTATTCTAGAGAAACACAGACACTCATTCAGTGAGAGGAACCAAACTCTACACATCAGCAACATAACCAGCTCCGATTACGGGACGTACAGCTGTTTTGCTTCAAATGCATACGGAGAATCAGAAAAGCACACATATATTACCGGTGAGCAGTAGTTCATTCGTTGTGCACCTTACATGAATCCTCAAAATGATGCCAGATTTTAATATTCTGTTTAGGAGCAGGAATTAAACCTAAAACATCTTTAAACAAAGACATTTCGTAAAACATCTTTCAACAGAAACAGAATCGAGAAAAAGAAAGAAGCATAGCATAATCCTGTAATTTTCAGTTTTTCTTTTAAGGTGAGAACTCAACTGTTAACCGAGGAAATGGCACTGGTGGTCAAACTCAGTCTGATCAGATTGTGCTTTCAAGTGGACTTACACTCGCAGGAGTTTTGGGACTGTGCATCGTGTTCTACTGCCTTTACAAAAACCATCACAGTAAGATTTTCTCCCAAATAAAGGTTCATAAATGTTGCTTTAGCAAACTAATTGTTTATGAAACCCACATCCTTCATGATTTAGATTTATTCTGTGACTCAGATCATGAACCTCAATACCACATCATTTCAGCATCTCAGTTCTCACCCAATTGTTCTCAAAAACGCCAGTTTGAAAAAAATAAATATGAATCATAGAAACACAAAAACCAGACAAATTTCCCCGTTTAAAAACTCCCCAGCTATTCTGCAGGCTACCTAAAACATGAAATACAATTGCAGCAATTATTGCATTTCATTTCTATTTTGTAAAGAATGTTTTACTGTTGTTGTATTTTTAGGGCAAAGAGCAGAAAATGGCAGAACTACAGATGAAGGTATTAAAAAATGAATATATCTATTTAACTATCTATAAGCTTGTATTGATTATACCAGTTGTAATTGTATCTGTGAAATATACTTCACAGGGGGTGCAGACAATGACCTTGGTATTTATCAGGTAATAGACAATCAAAATCATTAATAAACAGATGTGCAATAATGAATTTAGTACATATTTGGACGTTAATATGATGAACATTTAAGACAATCTTCATTATCTTAAAGACCCAACGAAAATACAAAAAGTGTTTTGTGGCTTTTATTTCATATATACTACATTTGAGGCCTCTATAAGCTAATGCAATGTTAACAAATCAGGTTTTGAACTATAAGCTGAAGTTAAAGGCTAATAGTTTGGCTCTTTAAATTGACTCTTTCTGTCTAATAATTGTCAATCATAACTAATAATAATAATAGCCTACAATATTATTAACTATAATAAACATGACATTTAGTATAATATTGCTTTGTCCTATTGCGTGACACTTAAAGATTTAATTGTGTGCTCAATATTCTCACAATTTCCATACACTGCGCTGCACCGGAAGTTGCGGTGGTCACTTCATTATCTTAAAGACCCAACGAAAATACAAAAAGTGTTTTGTGGCTTTTATTTCATATATACTACATTTGAGGCCTCTATAAGCTAATGCAATGTTAACAAATCAGGTTTTGAACTATAAGCTGAAGTTAAAGGCTAATAGTTTGGCTCTTTAAATTGACTCTTTCTGTCTAATAATTGTCAATCATAACTAATAATAATAATAGCCTACAATATTATTAACTATAATAAACATGACATTTAGTATAATATTGCTTTGTCCTATTGCGTGACACTTAAAGATTTAATTGTGTGCTTAATATTCTAATGAGCCTAAATGCCACTGTCAGGTCATTTCATTGGGTCTTTAAGTCATGAAACAATCTCCGTGTATCCAGCAGAATGATTAATGCGATTTAAAAAATAAAAATAAACATATTAATAATACCTGTTTACTCCGACCACTCCTGTCTCTCAGGAAGTACCTGTCACTGAAGAGGTGACTCCTTTACCGTACGTCTACACAGACTTCATTAAGCCGAAAGAGAGCAGTCAGGCCTCCGCTGCAGCGACACACTTTGAGGACTTTGGTTACTCTGAGGTCGGACCCACATGCAGGGAAGAAACAGCCGTTCTATATGAGCGTGTCTCTAATGAACAGTCCACAGCGTGTCCTGATGCTGGAGAGGTGTAACAACTGATATAAGAGACTACAAAACATTTTGGAGTGAAAACAGCGAATACTAATAACACACTTTCATGTTCCTGAATCTGGTGCAGTGCAACAAGTGCAACATATAAGCAGCAGCGGGTGAAAAAATGCGTTACGTCCTGATCAACCACTAGAGGGCAGCAAAAACAGCTGAAAAAACACTTTCAGTAAAAGGTGCAAAAGCTGTCACTGCAGTGGCATCAATGTACAAAAGCTAAAAGGCACAACCATGTACCTTATTTACACCTAAATGGTGCATATTAATAGCTTAAATGTACAGATTGGTATTTGTAAAGCACATGTTAGTACCTCAAATGTGTACACATTAGTAACTTTTTAATGGGCACCGCATCTGACATTTTTTTAAACCTTTTTTTCTGAGACTGTAGCAGCTCTACCACTTTCGACTGAACTATGATGGTTTCCGATTATTACAAAGACGCAGAAACAACATTTTTGATGGACAAATCATCTTAAAAATAGTTTCATGATTACAGTTACCAGGGTTGCCAGCTTTTAAGTTCAGCTTGGAGTGAGTTTTTTTGGGGGGTTTCGATCGAGATTCAATATCAATTCACGTGTATATACTGTAAATATAGGGGGATAAAAATCTTTTTCTGAATGCCTTTTAGCACTATTTTACACTTTAAATTCAGTATTTGCTTGCATTCATTGTGTGCAATTATGCAAGTATCAAAGGATGAAAAGGAGTTAAAAAAAAGGATGCAAGTTATTAACTTTTTTAATTTCTTATTTAAACATCTAGTGTTTAATCATGTCTAAATATTTATTCAAATGAAGAATTTAAAAATAAGTAAGCAGGTATGACCTGCAATATTCTAGATATATTTAGTAAAGAGCCATACAGGTACCTAGTGGGTAAACGCATTACAAATTAAAATGATTTTTTTTTCTAACCACAAAATGACTCTAATTTGCCTCTTTCTATTGGATTTTTATTTTATTTTAAGTTTACATACTACACTCATTGAAATATAAGTCATAGACATATTAGAAAAACATATTATAAGTCATTAATGGACCATCAGTTTTGCACAAATGGTATTTAGTAGGCTACCAATTAAATAAATATTATTGGACTAAAATATAGAACACTTATTTAACTGAAAAATAGTTAAGCTGTATGGTCACATTATAAGTAAGCAATAGGCTACCCGAGAGTAAAGAAAACCATATTAATGCTGCCTCTCCATTACTCTCCGGAATAAAATTACACTGTAAATGTCATCGACGTAAATCAATACATAATATGCTGTAATGTTTACCAAAAATTGCTGCAAATAATTGTATAATGAAGCTGTCGTCTATTCTACTTAAACCCATACAAATGTATTGTCAACGCTGGTTTGTTTGGGCAGCTCCGTGGACCACGTGACCGCGCGGCGACATCAAAGCTCGGCGCAACTTAGTTTTTTTTCATGGCACTGGCTTTAACTGAAGTGCTACATTTTACGATTTACGCCACATTAAGTGCGCCACAACCATTAAGTGTATTTATTGTTTGAATTTAGTTTTAAAACTTACCAAATTTGAAAGCTGAGACTTTGTTTCATATTGTAAGCAGGGTTGCCAATTTGAGATTTACATGGGCAGCGTGAGTTGGCAACCCAATACATTCAATAGGCTAAGCATCATTCTGAAAAATAGCAGTTTCCTCTCTTGCACTTGGCACTGGATCATGCACAGCATGAACACACTATACGGACTTGATAAGTACTTCATTAAGTACTTCAGATTCTTGCAATAATGTCAAGGAAACGATGTTTGAAGTGACACTTAAATATGCACACTGTGAGAGGTCGCAAGTGTCCACCCTACTCATTAGTGACTCTCATACACAGTGATTAGTTAAATTGCCTTTCAGAGCAATTTGGAGCGAAAGTGGTTTGTCTTGCATGACAAACTCTGTTAAAGGTTCTGTATATAAATTATGACATGCCATGGAGTAAGCAGCAGATTAATTGATGTTAAAAGGCAAATCTAGATGTCAGTAAAGAGGTGCACTCTCACTGTGCACAATAAGAGACCAAAACAGGTCAAAGCATTTGAGAGACAGCTGTCAGTCATCTGAAGAGTGTAAATGTCTCACCAAATCTTTCATTTACATTTTAAGAGTAGAGTACCTTCATGTATACCTAAAGCAATGTCTTTATTTGGACTCCTCAAAGCAACCAGGAATACATACTGCAACAGGATGCAAAGAATAGGTTCCCTTGTTTTTCCTTCAGAAAAGCCAAAAGAAAAAGACTGAAATAAAAATAAAACTATTTCCTTTTAACAAATGTTAACTAAGTATGCCTAATTTGTTACACCCATGGAATGCTGGGAAATGATACTTACAAACAGAAGGTAGATGTAAGTGTTTAATAATTTAACTTTAATCTCCTGTGATATAAATAGAAAAAAGAAAAGAAAAGAAAAAACAGAGGTTTGGGGGACAGTGTTAATTAAAGATCTCCTAAACAACTACAATAAGTGCAAACAGATATTTATATACAAAATTGCACATATCATTTGGGATTCAGGAAAAAAAAAACAATGTGTGGAAAATAATTTGCATCCTCGTTTGGGGATAAATAGATCACAAAGCGAACTCGTCAGACACAGACGCTCCAGAACAAAGGAATAGACTAAATGCAACGCAGGTATCAGGAATAAAACATTTGAGATTTGAATGGTAAACAGATGCACTCTGATCCGAAGGTTTAATATCAGTGATTAAGCCCTATCTGGCAACCCTGAGACAAAAACAACCCCATTTCAGCACATTTGACTAAGCTGAACATTCACTTGGAATTAATGGACCAAATCAGACTATGAGCACCATAAGGCTCCGAAAACCCTCGTTCAAGTGCGTACAAACTGCAGGGTTTTGATTTTCACTAAAGCTACAGCATCATTTGAGATTCACTTTTGATTACCGAATAATACCAACAGATTTAAATGCAAATATTCGTAACAAAAAGGGTACACAAAATCCTGTGAGATACTTTCATGATCCATTGTCTGCATTACTAAATTAATAAAATGATATGCTACAGATGATCAATCACAAGCACATTGAATAAGGAGAAAAAACTGCACGTTTAGAAGAGAAAAAATTATTTCACAGCATTTAAAATGTTCAATTTATATTCTGATTGATCAAGTCACTGTTGCCATCCATGGTTTACACTGTCGTAATAACATATACAGGATCTATTGTTATTCAAAGAAGTTTCATATTACACCATTAAGAGCTTCACTGTGATATTCAGTTTCCCTCTTCTGAAAATCCCCCTCTGTGTCCACCATCTGGTTGAACACAATCTGTGAATAATTTCTCAAATGTACAAAAGTGCTCAGTCTTCAAGAAAGTGTAAAAAATTTCTATTTGGCCCAAAAAGCCTCTTCCCTTTTTTTTAAGGCAAGTGGTGACCAGTAGGTCAAAAGACTCTTGCCACAGAACCGTGCTGTATCATCTCCCAATAAATATTGCAACAAATAATTCCCACCGCATTTGAAACGAGTGAGCAGAGTCAATGGCTTTTGGCATTTGTAGTTTCCACAAATGGTGAGAGCTTTACAATTAATGTACAAGGACGGGAATATCTCTCAACTATACATGGAAAGGGCACAAATGACATAAGTATGCGGCATGAATGTGTGGACAGGAAGCCAAGGTCATGTTCATAAGTGCATGCCAAAATGAAAAAAAAAAACTAAAATGATCCACTACACATTTATAGAAAAGCAAGACCTCTTGCAGACCTTGTCCCTTTGGCCCTCATTTCTAGTTGAGGTACTGTAAACACTTTAGAGGGTGCTCAAGGGAGGCCGAACAACACTTCAACGAATGATTCGCAAACATCAGGCTCCTTCCTGTTATCTGAACACAGCTGAAACACACTCAATTCCCATTCAGTAGAATCCTCAGCCAATTAAAGTTGAGTTCCAAGAATTTCAGAACTCTTGTCGGTTTAGAATTAGCGGATTCCGGAACTGGATGGATAAGGGGGAGTTTTGTTCAGGGAAAACATGCGCTCATTACCTTTCATTCTCACCAACACAACAGCGACGACGCAATATGATACACCAGTACCAGTAAAATCTCTTTTCCAAAATGATTTTTAGACAAAGTTATATACCATCTTTATAAATATTTTCTGTGCTGTTGTGTCCTCTATCAATATAAATAGCAAAATATAGTGTCATATTTCCTAAAGCTAGTTGAATCCCCTTATCCATTTACATTAACTAAAGCATCTTAAAATCACAAGATTCTTTTCTGAAAGGATCCATTAGAAATAACGTACAATTGGAACGAAATCTTTCAAAACAAACAAGTCTGTACAAAACAAAATTAACAAAATAATACAACGAAAAGCAACACAATCAATGTGTGTGTGCTGTTAGCCACAGGAGTGCACAGATGCTAGAGAGTTTGTGAAATGAGATGTGTGAAACCAACCGATTGGGTGAAAAGTGAAGCAAGCTGATATCAACATAGATTTTTGTTTTCTTGGAGGTGGTGATGGGGTGTGGAAATCATCCGTGATGATCTGACCTACTCTGACCTTTTGCTCGAAATCCCAACCGAAGATTGTTTGAAGAAGAATACTCAGCGCTAAATTTGGTTTCCTTTTTTTCTTTAAATTAAAATGCTAACCAATAAATATTTTTTGTTGAGACCAAAAATGCTTCTAACACTTTGTGGCGTACATTCAGGAACATTCATATTGAAAGTGAAAAATGCAATGTAAAATAAACAAACAAACAAACTGGAAAAAAACACTGTAAGAGATAACAATAAACATTGCCATAATAATAATTTATATTATATTACAAATTATTCCTATGTGTGTTTTTTTTCTCCAGTCCAAGGTCCCTGCCAGGGTAAGGTGATTTTTTTTTATAGTTTTTCTTTTGAGGGAATCCAGATGTAAGGTCCAGACTGTTCTTCTATCACCATCTTACACTGGTTATAAATGTCCTCTAGTGTGTCTCCTTGAACCAGCGCTGAAAGAAAAAGAGAAAGAGCTGATGTTAAAAGATTTTTAAACACTTTACAGATTAACATCTTTTTCATTTTGCACCACAAGAACCCCTGATGACAATGTTTCATAATGATCGTTTTTGAACTTAATGGCTCATTAGCCACATCATTGTTCATGGATTCTTCTGCATAAATTGTAAGAATAGCAATTTTACCCAGCAAAAGAATATCTAACAAAGAAGTGAGAATTATGCAGCCTTTTCATTAAAAAATATATTTAATTTTTTCTGATAAGAAAAATAGCTCTTCTATTTAAGTATGCATTATTAGTAAAGCAACAGACTTTTAAAATCTCTTCCAGGAGCTTTCTTGCAGATTCAGAGCAACGGAATAAAAAAATTAAAAGCACTAGAATAGTCACACGGGTTCAAAATCATGTCGCTGCACGCTTTTTCACATTCCTCCATACAGACTCTCGGGGGTCACGCTAATGCAAATTTCAAGAGAAAGTTGATGTGTTTCACTCAGGGGAGACCATCAGCTCCATGGCTCTGCTGTCAAACATGATGGATGTAACAGGCTGCAGTGGTTGGCCTCTGAGGTAATGCATATGCAAGAGACTATCAGAATATGCAAATGAAGTGATATCTGAGCATAAAAGTGCTGCTCAGGTCCTCTGGATGGATTACGAACTTTTCTGTTACCTGAGAAATACTCGCCAAACTCCTGCTCCAGTTTCATGGCACGGTCGTACGTCTTTTTGGCCTGTTCCTCCGTCAACCTCTTATTCATCTCCCTGAAATACACAGGTTTTAGAAGCGTATCAGTCCCTTAGTCTGAGTGCAGAGGAATTTTTTATTATTTATGGAACATATATACGGCATCATAGAGGTGTGTGGTAAACTTACATTAAGGACTCGATGGATCTAGGCTTTATAAAGATGGCAATGGGGTAGAGTTGTGCTACTTGTAGTCGTTTTATCGCATTCCCAGACACGTCAAGTATGCAGTGCTTTCCCTAGAAAAGCAAAAAGGACTTGGTAAATGCTAGGAAGCTGAACAGTAGAGTAAGGGGCCGTTCACAAAAGACACATTCAAGGGCACAAGGACAAGTGTTGGCCTATGAGATGTTTAGCAAGGAAAAGTCTTGTGAATAACGGCCTCTAAGATATTGAGTTTGACTCTTTACCGCATTTACTGGCAAGTACTGTGCATCTGAAACATGCTAAACTGGCTAGGCATCCCAAATTGTGAAATCTACGTTAGGCAAGGCAAGCTTATTTATATACTGTAGCACATTTAATTCACAATGGTAATTCAAAGCACTTTATATAAATAGTAATGCTACTGACCCTCTCAGCCACATATTTGACAGACTGTACACTGGTTCCATACAGATTGTCATTGTACTGTCCAGCCTCGATGAACTTGTGCTCTTGGATGTCTTTCTCCATCTGCTCTCGTGAGGACACAAAGTGATAATCTCTCCCATCCACTTCATAATCCCGCTTTGGTCTGGTAGTATCTGAAATTGGTTAAAAAATATCCAGGCTTTAGTTTTTTTAAAGATTTGGGTACTCTGTTCTACAACACATAAAAATCATCATCATCATTATTCACATACACATTCATAAGGAATACCTTAAGTTGCCAGAGGACGGAGGGCAAGTCTACTTACAATTACAAATAAACTATTATATGTCTACCTTTCAGGGTGACATACTAAGAGATAGAACAGCAGCAGTGATCTAAGCAGAAATACCCATAGATCCCACTGACAGGATGAACTGTATACTACAGGGAAGAACTATTACATTTTCTACTTATAATCTTGCTAATTGCAGACTAATATTCTCACTTACCTTCTTGATCAGAACTGTTAGCCGCTTTTTTAAATTATGAACAAACAAAAATGGTTAAATATAAGTCTGGAAAACTGAAAAACAAACAATAAATACACGGTTTAAGATGTAAAACATGAAAGAGCTCTGTGGCACTCATCAGCAAACTCTCCGAATGATATGGGATTTTTATTGTGAGATGAAGACCTCCATAGTATTGTCAATTTGTTCATTTTTTCACTAATACAAGCCAACAAAGCTCTTTCCCAATAAACAAGGGAAGAAAATTAGAAAACAAAGGAAATGTTACAAATTATGGATTACGAAGGGTTACTTTAAAGGTTTGCTCCAAGTGCTTTTAGTGTTTTTTTATTTACTCTTTAGACCACTTGTAACTTCTGAAAGCATCACTAACTAGTGACCTAGTTGAAGTTTGTTAATTAGCAGACCTTGAAATAAGTGATTTGATAGTCACAGCACAATGAAATGAGTTTCAGGAACTGCACTCAAGCACACTGGGACAGAAGGGAACACCACGGACTCTTATGGTCAGGCCACTCACCTTACCATCTCATTTTGATGAACCCCATCAGAACTGCTATCAGCACAAAGGCTTAAAACCCCCAAGACTACTGGATATAATTACAAACTACCTTGGCCAGAGGTTTTTCTAACACTCCAATTGAAATCCATAATGGCACAAGTGAGAATAACACAGTACACTATTGCTCAGGTGGGCTCTTTTAAGATATCGGTCGAGTCAGCCTCTACTGAAGGTTTAGTATCTGTGCATACTAAAGATATAATCATGAATAATTAATGAAAGATCCATTGAAAGTTTAGTTTATCTGATAATTTAACCACCTGGGTAGGAACCACAAGATCTCTGTAGGGTACTTACGTGGCACACATGATCCAAACTTGTCCGGAAACTCGGAAATGAGGTCATCGTTGATTCTATCCTTCATGGGCCCCAAGATTATAACCGGTCTGGCATAATTAACTGTTCAAACAGATAATACAGGCACAGAAAATCTCTGACTGAAATCGAACACCAATCACGTAATTTATTTACACTGACTGTGAACGTCATACAGTTCAAGCATGAGAGACAGCGGAGAGGCACTTACTCTCTTGTCTGATGACGGGCTCATATGAGAGAATCAGTTCCTCTTGACTCCCTGGAAACAGAACAGAAAAACATACTCAGTGGGGTGGGTGGTTATGATAGGACTCCGCCTGCTTTTTGCAGAATGCCGGCGATCGACATGGCCACATTTGGTGTGCCCTTCACCAAGGTCTCTCATCTCAGAGCACTGCTCAAGTGGAAGTGTAAATGAGTTACTGAGAGCATGTAATGTCATTACGTGCTTGTTGACAAGGACATTTGTATTAAAAAAGAGAAAAATAAAAAAAGAGTGGCAAAATTGAGTTAGTGCTCATTTGGGAGATTAAAGGGATCAGCGGAAAGGCGATGATGGACAACAGAAAATTTAATCACGGATGAGACTGAAGTTTCAGACAGTGGCAATACTAATTGAATATAATAGTCCAATTATGGAAACGCAGGTCCAATGTGACGCTAGTTGTGAGGTGGTCTGCGCACACAGGGACTTAGAGAGCCAGAGGAGTTTATTTTTAGCCCTGGAACGAACAGAAGCAGGCTGCCGCAGGAACACAATATGGTTATTATCCATCGATTCAAACCCAGATAGGATCGAGTGTTATTCTGAGCCAGAGCTTCATTTTTCTCATAGGCAGTGGTAACATTAAACTATAGAGAATGAATCACACATAAATCAGCTTCTGTGTAGTGCTCCACTCTTACACAGAACAATTTAGATGCTGTGGAAATGCTAGATGGGCTCTATTTGTGTAGCTATTGCCATAAACACAATGGATTATGTCCATTTAAAGCCTTACAACACAAAGCACACTCTGAAGATCTGTTTGGCAACCTAATGAACTGCCCACAGAAGCACAATTTTGAGGCATAAAAATGCAGACTCACAACAAAAAAAGCTGTTCCAAAAGGTAGGCAACTTAACTTTGCTGCCTCCTTAAATTTCTTGTTTGGCTAAATTCTAAAGGCAACACTGCATGTTTGCATTACTGATCCAATTCAAGCAGATGAGGTGAGAACACTTTAAACAGTATGAATAAAATGTAGAATTAAAAATAATTATTTTACCTAATATTTGAACATGCTAATTTTATGCTGATTAGAGTTGAGCTCTATTGTTAGCACCAGACTCAACTGAATATATTATCGCGAGTTGAGTCTCACATAGCTGGTTATGTAGAGCATTCCAAATCAGTAATGGCTGTAAGGATATCTCTCTTAGAAGGCAGCTGCCTGTGTAGGTAATAAGCAACATAAAATAAGCAACTTAGAACAAAGCTTGAGTTGTATATTCTTTTGAATTCTGCAGGATGAGTTCTGTGCATTAAACAGAAGCCAAGCTGAGGGGACAGCATCTGTGAAGACTTTAAACAAGGTTATGTGGGTTTGATCAATGCCTGGAGTTTGTGGTGGAGTCAGATCATACATCATTTTGTAAGACTGGACAGTGACATTTGCCCTCTGACTCTCAGCTATAAGAGCCCGAACTTAAGAATTATGCTTCTACTAACATCACATGAAAGACACGGTGACTTAAAAAAAAGAAGAAGCAAAAGTCTCTTATGCTCATCAAGGCTGCATTTATTATAATCAAAAACAGTAATATTGTAAAATATGAACACAATTCAAAATAACTTTTAATTTATTCCTGTGATGGCAAAGTTGAATTTACAGCAGCCATTACTCCAGTCTTCAGTGTCAAATAATCTTTCAGCATTCTGATTTGGTGCTCAAGAAACACTACTTATTAACAGTGCTGCTTAATCTTTTTGAGGAAACAGTAATACATTTTTTCCAGCATTCTCTGGTGAATAGAAACTTCACAACAATAGCATTTATTTGCAAGAAATGCAAACTTTTGTAGTATTAGAAATGTCTTTACTTTAACCTTTAATCAATTTAATGCATCCGTGCTTCATTAATTAAAAAAAAAAACCTACTGACCCCAAACAATAATGTATATATATTCATATCAATGAAATGTTTGCTGAAATGTAACTCTGAAATGTTTAAACTTAAAACTGCCATGGACAAAACTTGTATCTTTCTGCATGCTAAAGCAAACAAACTGTAAATGATTCTTTCTGACAGCACGTATAATTTTTTATCAGTGCGTCATCAAGTGAGTCTATTTCCAAAATAAATTAAATAAAAGCCACAAATCCTGTTTACCGGCCAAGGAGAAAAACAAACAAGTAATTTTTCATTATGTTGACAATGGCTGTCTAGAATAGCATCATGCCATATGTCAATTACATGGCAAAACCTAATCTGTCCAAAGTGACAAGCTCATCCAGAGAGCTCTGAATTCACACTCGGTCTGGAAACCTGCCACTCTCAAAATGACTACAAAGCCTGACAGCTAACGCTTTGGAGCTGGACTATCTCCAACAAACTGACCTGAAGTCATCAGGTTACTCAGTAACTTTTTCTTGTAGCAGTGTGATCTATGTGTTCTATAAACTTTGACAGTCTTGGTTGCATTTGGTTGACAAAATTAGACTTGAGTTTAAAGAATAAAATAAAATTAGACACAGAAGATTAAATTAGGGACCCAGTACCGAGGAAGAGAGATAAACACACTCAACCTAAAAGAAATGTCCTCTCTTCTGATCTTATATATCGGCTTTGTTTTCTGTGAACATCCATCGCTTATCCTCTCTATGTATTATGTCTTGGCACAAATACATATTAATTCATTGAGAATAATACTAAATATTCAGTTTGGCCGATGTGTATTCCCTTAAAGGGGTCATATGATGCTTTTTTAAAGATCATTATTTTGTGTATTTGGTGTAACAGAATATGTTGACATGCTTTAATGTTCAAAAAACACATTATTTTTCAAATACTGTACATTATTGTAAGTCCAATGCATTGCTGTTCTGTTGAAAGTAATCTTAAAGATTCCTAAATACATCTACTTTAGGAAGGCCAAATAGTGCTTTTGCTTTCGCCTAGAAACACACAGCGTCTCCCTGACATGGCTGCTTCAACACTAACTGCGGTTACTGAAACCACGCCTTCTTTCTTTGCGTGCACATTTGGGCAACATTATGCAAATATTTCGACATAGCGAGGTAGATATGTGGGGGCGTGTTAGAACGAGCCGTTTTAGGGGGGCGTGGCAGAGTCTTAACTTTGATAAAGAATATCTCTTTGGTTTTGAGACTTTAGTCTTTGCAACTTCAGGGATCTTATCTATGCACAATCAGCTTGTAACACTCCAAAGAGAAAGGAAAACTTGAAATCGCATCATATGACCCCTTTAAAAACATATTTTAATAATTGTGTTGGCTAAATGCTCCTGATGAGAACATAAAAACACTGTTAAAACCTGAAGACAACATTTGGCACAGCACTGCAGAGACATCATAAAAGACAAACACAAAAGACTAGAATGTAACAGATTTCCATTAGGAGAACTTCATGTTCTACAGGTGCATCTCAATAAATTAGAATGTCATGGTTGGTTGAGATAGTGAATTGGTGGGTTTTTGTTAAATGTGAGCCAAAATCATCACAATTAAAAAAACCAAAGACTTAAACTACTTCAGTCTGTGTGCATTGAATTTATTTAATACACGAGTTTCAGAATTTGAGTTGAATTACTGAAATAAATGAACTTTTCTATGACATTCTAATTTATTGAGATGCACCTGTATTTAATAGATAATAAGTGTGTTTATATATATATATATATATAAATGTAAGGCTCACAATTCAGACTTTTTTCCCCTCAGGATTGCAAAAAATGTCAGATTTGTGAGATATAAACACAGAATTGCACAAAAATGGTTTTGAATTGCTGAATTATAAGAAGAAAAAAAAATAATTTTTATCCCATGGAAGAAATAAGCTTACATAGAAAATAGCACCACATTCTCGACATACAAACTAAACAAAAATAATTTGACAGCTATTGACACATTATGTTCATGCATCATTTTAGCTACCACATAAGCCTAAGCATGATAAAGCAGGAATCTCTAAAACATTACAACCTGTGGACCAACATATATTAGTATTCTGACATGCAGACAGGCCTGTGGTTGTTTGAGACGGCTAGGACGACGCAACGATAAAGAAAAAATCTTAACTGAAATGTTACATATGTGCTTAGGAGAGGGGTATAGGGTCCATTCTTTAACACACTTACTCAGTGTCTTTGCTCCGTACCCGTCCTCCCCTATTCCAGAGATGTCCTACACCACACAGCCGATCAGAGAGGCGAGGGGGGTGGAGAGAGAGAATGAAAGAGGATGGGAGACAGAGAGACAGAGGAAGAGAGAGACAGTGAGGTTGTTGGTGGGGCGGGCAGTAACGCCAGAAGAAGAAGGAGGGCATGGGCTTCCTGGAGCTACCTACACACCTAGACCTTTCAATCCACCCCGAGGATGCGTTTGTGTGAGCGTGTGCTGTTTTTATGTACCTACGTGTGAGAGTGCACGTGCGTTTGTGGCTACTTACGTTCCGAGTCACTGCCGTCTTGCTCGTCAGCGTCCTTGTTCTTGTAGAAAGGGAACTTGCGTGAAAAGATGAAGTTCTTTCTACGTTTTTCACTGAATGACTGTGCGGAGAGAAAGCATGGTGCAAACAGGGGGCTCTAAAAGCTGTCACAATCATGCTGACAAAATCAACACAACGACTGGAGCTGGACGTGAGGGACAACAGCTAGGAGACAACCAAACCACCAAGCTTTTATTTGTACCGAACTAATTACATTGTTTTTGGCTCAAACTGAAAGTGCTTGGATGATCCTGAATAGGTGATCTTTGTTTGTTGTGAAGGCTGATCCGAACCCCGCTGTCCATGACGTCACAGCACCTGAGCTGTTTTCAGACAGCTCAAATGTATTCAAATTAAAACATGATCAGTTGGAAGGAACATACAAGGGAGGTAAACAATGATAAACAAAAGACCAACTGAAGCTGGTTTAGTGCCATGCAATGGCAAAAGGGACTTTAAAAAATACTTACTAACTCATATTAAAATACCAAGCATGCAGGACAGTCCTGACAGGGTGGCATGCTGATCAAAGGGCCCCAATTTGTGCTGCTTGTGTGTAGTATTATGATGTTCTGAGGGTGAATTGTTTTTAAAATGGCTATGAAATGCAACGAAAAATAAATGAGGTAACATATATGTGACTGAGGTGATTTTCTAGCTGATTTGGTGAACCTGAGGTCAATATGCTGTCTGATTTGAATGTAATTTTCCTGATAAATTACAATCTGTGATGGTGAAACCCGTCAAGAATATGTCCAGATCATCTTTTACCCCGAAATTAAAAGAAAAAATTATATAAAATTATTTGAATTATATTACATCAAGTCTATTTTAGGACCATTAAGATTTTTTTTGTATTATGAAATGTTATTGAAATTACTTTACACCCACTCCTCATTTTTCTAATGCAAAAACCATAAAGGAAAGAAACAACAAAAATTAGTTTTAAAGTTGTAAAGTATGAAACATCATTATAATTTATTTTCAATTATTTTTTTTACTGAATTTAATTAATGCTTTAATAAAAATAACAATTGTGTCCAGACATAATGTGATAGAGTAATGAGAATGAGATATATATATATATATTTTTTACTTTACAATAATGAATATCAGGATTATTGTGCTTAATTATCAAGAACTGCAATGGTTTTAAAAATAGGCTTCATTTTCTTTTAACATGAACATAACATTTTTTTCTTATGATTTTGGGGTAAAATATAACCCAGACAGTTCTTAAATAGATTAACAGATATATGTTTGGCAATAAAATAAATATATCATTTTGAGTGCTTTTGTGTGCATTTTTGTGGTTTTTGACTATTTTTTTCAGCACAGTGTAGGAATTAAACCAATTGTACCCCTGAAGGAAATATTCATGACTATGCTAATCCTCTCTATTATAAGGCACATAAACATTCTTAATCAATGCATTTTCAATCAACAGTGAAATCCTATGATAAACCTGAAATGATACATACACAAAAGACAAAACCACACAACAAATCTTCAAGTAATCCATCAGTGCCAACACCCCCACCCCTCTCCCATCTTCAAAAGACAGAGGGAGAGAAAAAAGGAAGAGAAACGAGAGACAAGAAAGAAATGGAAATTTGCAGGCCTGGCTGCAATGTTGCTATGGATACTAGTGGGAATCACAAGGCTAAAAATCTGAACGGTGCTGTGGTTGTGTGCCGAACTAAAATACACCCTACATCCTTCAGTTTTATTCATTTCACCTCTCATGCACAAACAAGCAATATTTACTACAGATGACCTTACCATACTGATCTCGTAAAAGACGCAATAGGAGACACATTTATGTACAAATGTAATACTGAGGCTGCTTCTGTGAGCTGCACTGCTGTACTGATGCTGAGAGCTCAGAGTGAGCTGTCACACTGCGGCAGAAGGACAGAGTCTCACACACACACACACACACACTTTCACTCTGACTGACTCAATGACCCACCAGCACAACTTGAAATGGGGAAATAAATTCAAGATGACAGGGCACGACTGAAACTAAACTGGATAGACTGAAGAAAGGGAAGAGACAGACACTTAGATTACACTAGATGAGTGAAGAGACACAACAGGGGCTGCTGGTGAACTGTGTCTAAACTGTCATTAAATCATTGGGCCCTTCCTGCTTATACCTGAAAACTGGGGCGAATAGAATTTCGGATGTTGGCACTGATAAAACCATTTTAAAGACAATCACTCAACAAATAGAACACTTACCCCTTTAGAATCGAGGCTACCGGGTTTTGAGTTGAATTTAACCGTCTTCAGACGAGCTCTCTCTTTTCTTTCCACCCTGCAACAGTAATAGAGACAAAGTCAGTAAAATGTTCTACACAAATGTACGGTTTCCACAAAAAATATTAGGCAGCACAAACTTTCTTTTTGGTTAGTAATACTGGAATGTTTTCTGAAGGATCATGTGACACTGGAGACTGGAGTAATGGCTGCTGAAAATTCAGCTTTGCTATCACAGGAATAAATTACACCTTAAAATAGATTTAAATATAAAACTGCTATTTTAAATTGTAATAATTCACAATATTGTTAGTTTTTTCCTAAAATTTTTATTAAACAAATGCAGCCTTGGTGAACTTAAGAGACTTCTTTTATTAAAAATTATTGCAAAATTATTACCATACCCAAGCTTTTACACAGTATATACTTAGTAGTGTACATACAATCTGAAACAATCAAAATTTTGTCCTAATTTTGTTTTATATGACCATTTGGTTCCCGATATTTCAAATCAAACAGAACGTTCTGCTTTACATTTAAGACTTCTTTATGTAAATACAGAGGAATTAACAGACAATAATGTGATAGGTTAATATTAATGAATGACCCATTTTTACGGTTTATATCACTCAACAAATAGAACACTTACCCCTTTAGAATCGAGGCTACCGGGTTTTGAGTTGAATTTAACCGTCTTCAGACGAGCTCTCTCTTTTCTTTCCACCCTGCAACAGTAATAGAGACAAAGTCAGTAAAATGTTCTACACAAATGTACGGTTTCCACAAAAAATATTAGGCAGCACAAACTTTCTTTTTGGTTAGTAATACTGGAATGTTTTCTGAAGGATCACGTGACACTGGAGACTGGAGTAATGGCTGCTGAAAATTCAGCTTTGCTATCACAGGAATAAATTACACCTTAAAATAGATTTAAATATAAAACTGCTATTTTAAATTGTAATAATTCACAATATTGTTAGTTTTTTTCCTAAAATTTTTATTAAACAAATGCAGCCTTGGTGAACTTAAGAGACTTCTTTTATTAAAAATTATTGCAAAATTATTACCATACCCAAACTTTTACACAGTATATACTTAGTAGTGTACATACAATCTGAAACAATCAAAATTTTGTCCTAATTTTGTTTTATATGACCATTTGGTTCCCGATATTTCAAATCAAACAGAACGTTCTGCTTTACATTTAAGACTTCTTTATGTAAATACAGAGGAATTAACAGACAATAATGTGATAGGTTAATATTAATGAATGACCCATTTTTACGGTTTATTATTCACATAGTGTATTCAACTCTTTCATATCAGAAGAAGGAAAATTCTGTTTTTCATTGTATGTTCTATGGTGGCCGAGAAGTGCAAAGCAAATCACAATTCTGAAAACAAAATAACAAATTACAAATGCAAATGCAAGTCTAAAAAACTAAATAAAAATTCAGAAAGCACAACAACAATTCAGAAAACATTATAACAAGTCAGAAAACACAACGACAAATCAGACAAACCGGAAAAGGTAGGTATGGTTTGAGACACCGCCATTGGTTTGGGATTACTCACCGCTGACTGGACGAGACATCTGTCAATCAAAAAATATGGCGTGTCTATTTACATTTAGTTGAAAGTGACTGCAAACCATCAGCTCCAGTGGTGCAGATGGATAAGCACTAGTCGTTGGAATTTTGACGCGATTGACCCGGGTTCGATCCCACCTTTTGCCAAACTTTTTTTTCTCCCTTTTCAAATCTCTTATCACATCGTAAAGGCATTTATTTTCAATAAAAATTAAGGAAATAATCAAAAAGTTGAAAATAAAGTATCGGGTAGGGTTAGGGTAGGTGTAGGGAGGGCTTTATTGTACCAATAAGGTGGCATCCATTTAATAATTAAAATTATAATTTACACTCAATACGTTATTATTGCATACTGTTTTATAATGTACTACAATACTGAAGTGCAGATAATTGCCGCTATTTGCAACAAGCAGTATACTTGATAGTAGAAATCCTGCTATTTTAACAGTGTAAATAGGTATTATAGCATATTGCTAAATACTGCCATTTTCACTTAGTGTAAATAGAATCTATTGTTAATACGAGATTTGAAAAGGGAGAAAAAAAAAGTTTGGCAATTTTTTTTCTCCCTTTTCAAATCTCGTATCACATCGTAAAGGCATTTATTTTCATTAAAATTAAGGAAATAATCAAAAAGTTGAAAATAAAGTATCGGGTAGGTTTAGGGAAGGTGTAGGGAGGGCTTTATTGTACCAATAAGGTGGCATCCATTTAATAATTAAAATTATAATTTACACTCAATACGTTATTATTGCATACTGTTTTATAATGTACTACAATACTGAAGTGCAGATAATTGCCGCTATTTGCAACAAGCAGTATACTTGATAGTAGAAATCCTGCTATTTTAACATAGTGTAAATAGGTATTATAGCATATTGCTAAATACTGCCATTTTCACTTAGTGTAAATAGAATCTATTGTGAAATGTTATTTTGTTTATTAGACTTGCATTTGCGTTTGTAATTTGTTATTTTGTTTTCAGAATTGTGATTTGCTTTGCACTTCACGGCCACCATAATGTTCTCTTTAAAGAGCCAACTTAAATATAGGGCAGTAGGGTGACGATTAGAAGTAGGGCTGTCACATGTAAATTTAGTACAATTAATTATATAAAAAAAGTTCAGTAAAAATATTACTCCTTCAAAAAGGAAGCACTCATGTTATGTTTTTTAATCATTAATTTACATAATTTAGGTGGCTGTGCCAAGTAAATATTGATATATGCAATTTATTGAGATTAATTTGATAACTTAGCATATCAATGATATGTATTCGTATTTGATTGTATTTTTTTAATTTATTGACAGCTCTTTTAAAAAAAAGATTGGATGTGGATTGTGGTTATTAAGTTACTACTTGGAAGAAAAAATGCTTAAAAAGGCGGTAATAAATCTACACTGGTCAAATGTTTTGTCTTTAGTCACGTAGGTGTTTCAGCATGAAACTCACCTCCTCTTGCTGGGGATGACGCCCATCTCCTCACTGTCCCCTTCGAGCGTCACTCTCCTGGCCTGCCACCACTCATCATCAGATGCATTGATAACATGGAGAATGTCTCCATATCGGAAACTGAGACCCTGACTGGGAAGACCACTATCCTTTGCCCTCTCATAGTCAAACAGAGCCCTGCAGAAAGGCACACACACACACACACACACACACAACGTCAGTTTGACTGAGCTGACACATTCACGCAATATTTTGCATCCGTCTGTCATGAATTGGCAGTAATGGCTGACTCATTCTAAAGCAGCATGCATGAAATGTGCAGATACAGCTGTAAAAGGTACAATAAGTGCCACTAGCCACAGTCAGCACATATTATAGAGTAGCACACACTCCTCATAACTGTGTGTGAGTGTTTGTGTATAATGATGGTATGATGGGAATATGATGGATTGAGACGACAACGGAAAGCTTTGTTCTACTGCCTTGAAAATCTATAAGCGGCTGCCGTCACTTTTCTTGCCAAGTTTGGGGAGGGAGGGAACATCATATTAAATTAATATATCTGTGGGATACAACTAGTGCGCCAATCTCTGGTCTGTTTTAAAAAATGTATCAGTTAAACAATGAATTAATTCAGAAAATTTCTGCCCTTTCTACCTATCATTTCCTGTCTCCTCTGCTGTAAGGAAAACATATACTGTAACAGACACAATATTACAAAAATATGCATACATTCAAAACTCTGGGGTCAGTAAGATTTTTTTTAATTCATACATTTATTTCAAAAGGACGCATTAGATTGATCAAAAGTGACAGTAAAGACTTTTTTTACAAAAAAAAAAAAAAACTATTTCAAACAAATGCTGTTCTTTTCAACTTTCTATTAATTAAAGAATCCTAAAAAGTATCATGGTTTCTAAAAAAAATATGAAGCAGCACAACTGTTTTCAGCATTGATAATAAGAAATATTTCACCTCAGCATATTAGAATGATTTCTGAAGGATCATGTGACACTGAAGACTGGAGTAATGACTGGTGAAAATTCAGCTTTACCATCACAGGAATAAATTACTTTCTAATTTGTGACAATATTTCACAATATTACTTTTTTACTGTATTTTTGATCAAATAAAAGCAACACTGGATAGCATAAGATCCCTTTTTTTTTAAACAAAAAATCTAATCAGCCTTAAACCTCTGATTGACAGTCTGTAAACATGGAAACTAGGTATTTCTTAGATGCTGCAAACCTCAAAATATATTACTATATGATAAATTTCACATCATTTTGAATGAGAAATCTCAGCTCCTCCACATAATAGAAAACCAGTAAGAGAGAAGCACAGATGAGATCAGAAATACGAAGCCATTTCAAAGGCGATCACAGTTTACTATGCCATCTGAAGTGGGTGAATCACTATGCAGTGACAGAAGAAACCTCTCATTCATCCTCATATGGAGGAGCACTATCCAGAGAAACAGGCTATCGTTTCAAAAATAACCATGATTCACATACGCATCCTTAGAAAGAGACACAAACACTCTATTTAAAGAGCAGATTTTATACTGATGATGTAGACTCAAAGACCAGATGAAAACAAGTGTTTAAACCTGAACTGTCTGAGGGAAGCATGTGGACTGGAGTCACCCATTGATCTTTAGTGTGCACTTCAAAAATAAGCAGGAGAAGTAATAGTTGTTTTGTTTTATTTTTGTATTTTTAATGATATTCTCAAAATGTGCCAGCAAAAACACAGTTTTAAAGCCATACTGTTTTCACTGTTATCTACCTCCAGCAGGGCAGTGTGGATGATCAAGCGGTGAAGCACAGTAAAAGGAAGCACTATAGCTAAGACGCATCCGCACACAAAAGAACAGACAGGCCAGCCCCACTGAGAACATAATACTAGAGATAACAGCAATAATGCCCATTAAACTCGTTCCTCCAGGTACATTTAGTCACTGCAAGCCTAGCCAAAATGCTTCAATGCAGACCTGTGATAAGCTGAATCAAGTGTTATTGCATTTCATGTTTCTCTCTATTGTCTATACAATTTCTTATTCTGTTTGGGTGAAAACAAAGGAGTCCCACTGTATGATACCCACCTCCTAACGGCAAATGCTTACAAAAATTGACTTTGTAAAAAAATGAACTTCAAAATGAATTGCAATCAGAGGATAACTAAGCCAAAGTAAACCAAACTTTGACCCCTTGATGTAAATGTAACTACAAAAACAGGCATATATTAAAGAGATTTATCATTTTAGAACATGCTGTTCCTAAAATGCTGCAATGACACCACACACTAAACAGCACTTCACACCTTTTTAGCCCTGATAAAAGCTCTCAGATAAGACGAGGCTCTCCTGAATAAAAGTGTGAGAGTTTGGGAAACAAAAAACAAACAAACAGGTGATACTAGTCTTCTCTGTTCACTGCTAGCACTCACATTACCTCTCCTTAATATTGCCTTTTGTAACCATGACAATACATCTGTTTTGGAAAGGAAGCCTATGATGCAGATGCAACAAATGAGATGTAGACAACACAAACACAGCCTAAAATCAATGAAGGGGCTAAAGATTTAATCAAATAAAATGAAAACATCAAATGTTATATCATGTACATATCTTAAAATATATTATATTTATTGTGGAAATAAATAGGTAGGTATTACAATTGTGATTGCAATTATTTATGAAAAGTTAGATTATATACGCTACCAAAAGTCTGGGTCGATAATATTTCTTAATGTTTTTGAAAGTCTCTTTCGTAAGTCTCTTATGCTCACCAAGGCCACATTTATTTGATTAAAAATACAGTAAAAACAGTACTACTGAATTATTCAAAATATATAATGCTGACATCTATTATTACAGTTTGAAATAACTGTCTATATATATATATTTAAATAGGGCTGTCAAAATGATTACTTGTGATTAATCGCATCCAAAATAAAAGTTTGTGTTTACATAATATATGTGTGTGTGCTGTGTATATTTCTATGTATATATAAATACACACACATACATGTATACTTTTATGAATTTTTTTAAATAATTATTTCCATGTGTCCATGTGTCCAAATATTTTACGCAATTGGCACAGGGGTGGAGCACTCACAACTGCTGCTTCTGTCTCTTTTTTTGACAAGAATTTAGTTTATTTAGACGCAGAACATCTTTACGACCACATCAAAGCTGCCTTAAAACATGCATGCATGTAAGTATTTGTTACACAAGTCAGATTTAAAAATGTGTCTCTGAAATGCAGTGGTTTTCAAAACTGTCCTGGAGCAGCCCAGCTCATCTAACACACCCGATTCAACTCATCAGCCCATTAGTAGAGTATTTAAGACCTGAAGTGAGTCAGAAAAGTTAAAAAGTTTAGTGTCAGATCTGCATCATGTTCAGCAGGAGCAGCTCTTAAAGCAGCCAAAATAACCTAATAGCCCAGCTGCTGTGATGTCTGATAATCAAAGAACAAAAGAAAAAAGAGGAAATCAATAACTTTTGTAGCTTTAAGGATTCATCTATATCTAATTTAGAATTTAGTGTTTGATAACTTTATTCAGTTTCTGAATATTTCCTACTTGCTGAAGGGCACAGGTAGCTAAATATGACATTTATTATCATGAGTTTATGTAATGATTGCTTTAAGTTCACTTAAATTAATTATTTTTTCAAGTCTAATAAATGTTAAAATTGATAGCGCTCAATTGTAATGTAATGTTATTAGTGGGGATAATCAATTTCATAGAGGTATCAGTAGTATTAGTATCAGTGATCCTCACCTTCAGTCATAAAAAAGATGCCTTTAAACCAATCTTAAAAGTATATTGTCTTTGTTGTTTCTACACTAATTTGAAGATTGAATTTGAAATTATTGCAATATAAAAGTATATTTAAACCTTACTGACCCCAAACCTTTGCATAATGTGTTGGTGATCAATATCATCCCAAGGATGAAATCAATGAAAAGATACACAAGCTACCCATACTGCACTGTTGTGAGCAGATACCTACATGACAAAATTAATGGGTTGCACATAATGGCTGGCACATATGCTGCTCTAATAGATGGAACATTGAATCTCACAGATGTCATTTCACAAGCATGCATTATTCCACAACAAACACAATATTAAGACAACTGATCTGCATTTCAGCTGTATTTTTAGCACAAAATGCTCTAATAGTCATGTGATGGTGCAAATGGGTCTGTTTGGGTCAATACAGTGCAACATTATTTATAAAGCAGGCAATAATATACAGCATAATGGTGGTTAGTCACCATTACGGATCTGTTACAAACCATACTGAGTGCAAAAAGCAATCATCTACACTATACACGAACAAATTGTTGTCTTCAACGTCCTCGTTAACCCTTGCTTCATTAAAGGATAAAACACACACACTCACACATACACATTGGAACACATGCCTAGGGAAAAAAGCACATCTTCCCTCTCATCGGCCAATAAAGACGTTAAAGGTTGTTATGGAAACTGCAAGCTACGTGCAGTACAGTGGAGATAAATAATATTTTTATATGTTTGAATGCTGGCAGGTTCTCAGCTTATTTCAGTGGATTCATTCCTCCATGGCATCATTATAACAGTGATGCTACTCAAGACTCTTCCAAAAAACAGCATGTGCAAGTGCAACCTGCTGACAAAAACTCAAAATTTACTGTCATATGACACATACTGAATAATGCGCGCTCCCCTCTGCAGCCATTATGTGCCCTTATGATAATAAATAGAACATATTCTTGTCTGTAAACCATTCAACTGATAAAATTACTGATAAATTGATAAAGCTGATAGATCACCTGATGAAAGAACCAAAACATTATGTACCACAAGAGCTGTAGCTATAGTGGTCAATTCAGGTCAGTACTGTTTTAGCATTATTTATATACTATTATAGTATTTATTCATATTTTGAATTACCTTTCATTTTTATATTTAATTTATCTTTATATTTTATTTATAGATTTTTAAACTTTTTAATATAAATTTAACAGTGAATCTGGCTTAGTGCAGGTTTTTACACTGAAATACTGCATGCAAAATTGCCAAAACTGTTTAGTGAATGCGCCCGAGTATTTTTGTTTTCTAGTGATTTATTGTGTGGATCTTGCAGTAGAGCTGCAGGGCTGAATCTGTGTCTA